ACTGGTGGATATAGTATCTGTAGAACACTTCTTCGGACTGAGTAAGCATTGGAGATGTAAAGCGCTCCCTTGTCGTATAAAAATCAGAGCTTGTATAGAGACCTGATGCGTAATGATTTGGCTTCATTTGTCATATCCAATTGGCGGCGTCAGTTGGCACAGAATAACCAAGAAGAGAAGAAGAATAAATCGTTGTTCCTCCTAACTTTTAACTGTGGACAAGAGGTCTCACAGACCTTTGCGCTCTTGTCGAGAAGACTAAAAATACTATGTGTGTTAGTTTTAAAAATGTTTCGTAGTTTCTCACAATATGAAAATTAATTATTTCAACATCAAATTTTTTCATTTAAGACCTATTCAGCTAGCATATTCTCTAACGTTGAAATGGTACGCTGATGTAAGGCCCATTGCATCGCGACCAGATTTGATTTATTGTGCCCCTTATTTCAACTTTAGTTTACAATACACATTAATTGTATTAACCCCTGCTGCAATCTCTGCATTGGGTCGATATGGCTGAGCGAGCAGTGTTTAAAAATCTGGCTCCGCGGTGACCTGGCACACAGACTAAGGGGACCCTATTTCAGGCGGCTAGATCATTGAGTGCTCTATGGCTCTCTATAAGGATTTTTATGAAAACGGTTAGCAATCTAAACTTTGGCTGTCCAAAAGTATGGAGATTTTTGTTCTGGAATATTGACTGTTTATTAAGACGGGCGGTATCCAGTATGGCAGCTAGTTTCACCTGGAATATCGCTAGTACCTCTTCGTAGAGCTGAGGATGGGATCAATATGGTCTTAGAACGGAGTTTTGGTCTTGGTTGCCTGCTTTTCCTTCAATATTTCAAGTTGTCCAACAAGGCCTTCTTGCTTCAATGTATTTTTCCTATGTAGCATGACTGCCTGCATTACTGATTCCTCTTGTATTGCCCCATGAAGGGGTGTTAGATTGAGGTTGAGACCATTTATATATAGAACTCTTCTCTTCAACAAACTAATTTAAATTTATAAACTCAAATACTTATGTTAAACAACAAAAAATAATATGGAAGTGTGTCTGAATCATTTTTTTAACGACGAAAATTATCACATGAAGAGGGTGTTCGGTATTCCTGTCCATGAAAGCTGTTCTGTAATGAACCTAACAATCTACAAAGATTGGAAATGTGAGAACGCCTATGATTTTTTAACATTTAGCGCCAATTATTTCAGCAACAGCTACTTAACGATCCTAAATCAGCTAATCTTTAGGCCCAGGAAATGTGCTATATTGGTCCGACCAAAGGGAGAGAGATGTTATTTGAGTGGGTTTAAGTGGGCATTTTAAGTTAGTGTCATGCGGGGAACCTTCACATGTAGGATATACCTATGTACGTTTGGGTATGCCGGAATCTGTTATGGATAAGATGGAGTTCAAACTACTACAATATCCTTACCTTAAGTGCGCCAGCTGTGATTGGACTGCTGTACAGTCATTTATATCAGGAGAGATCGAGAAGGTGATCATTGTTTTGGGTCCTGGATCGTGGCCCTAAGATCGTACAGATGTCTACTGACGAGATGGAGATTTTGCCTCTAGCTAATGTCTTCTCTGGTGCCCACGTCAGTAGCAGCCGACCATAAAATGCTTGCGCATTCCTACCGGTCTGTTTATCTGGCTTTGTACTAGCCACCTTTGTTTCGGTTAAGTGTTCGAGTACAATCTGAATTACTCTCCGTTCATACGCTCGAACGCTCTGCAATTGAAATTTTTACGCAGATGTATTGCTGGTATTAGTGCCATTTGAACCCGCCACACGGCGCACTTTTTGCGACCACCTCACCGGTTTGTCCATTCATAGCCGATGGCACTGGCGCTGTCGCTCAGCTGCTCAGAAACTGGTGCTTTGTGTGTGCATCTGCCTTGTGCTCGCGTACGTTTTACAATACTGGCTACCACATGCACACGCACTCTCCGCATACCTCCTCATACCTCACTACGATGAATGCTTGTATCTCTGACTGCCTCATTAGCGCGTTTGTAGCCATGTAGAAAGCTTAATAGCTGAAATACAATGCCGGCGAACGGCGAACTCACCACAGCGAAATTCGCGCTGTCAAAATTAGAACACCCGCAAGCATATGAAATTGAACACAGCCAAAGCGAAATGCGAAGTTCGCTTGGCGGCGTTTCATGGCGATAGATTTATTTCTATCGCTCTGCTGGGCGATGACAGCTGTGCGTGCCAAAGGTGGCCGTATTTGTTTTGTGCTTTCAAAGTTTAAAAAGAAAACAACCTAAACACGATTTTTTTTTTGTTGTTTGAAAAATATAGTTGTGGATTCGTTAAATCTGGCTTGAAACAAATTATTTATAATAATCTTTCTTTGTTTTACATTTATATTTGTTATCATTTCCTCATTTCTAAATATGGTTTAGTTTTTTCTAAATATGGTCACCCAAATTATAAAGGCGACCAAATGGGATCAGCTGTTTTCGCTACCGCTCTAATTCTGTTTAAGTAGGCGAAATAGTTGGGCGAACGGTGAACGACAGCATCGCCCAATTCGGCGAAGTTTGCCGTTCGCCGGTATTGTATTTCAAGCATAAAGGAGGGTGTTGTGGGGAGTAGGGAGAATCGTTGAATCAACCGTGTGTGCGACTGAGTGTTGTTCTGCGTGCAGTCTGCTTTTGTGTACTCCACGCCACTCTGCTTCCAACGCTTGTGCTTTATTGCCATTTCTGCTGCTGTCTGTTGAGTGTTGCCGCTACTGGCCGCGTGTTCCAGCTCCGAGTGCGAGTGTGGCTAATTTGTCTTTTTAGTGGGTCTTTCTGGTTGTTTGTTTAATTTTATTTGGTTATGATTGTGAGTTTATATGTGTCGGCACGGTGAGTACTAGGAATGGTTATCCCGGGACCTCGGGATCCCGGCCATCTTAAGGTCCCAAAAATTCTGGGATTCTTGGCAAATAATCCCGGGATTTTCGGGATTTGTAATTTGCACTGATGACAATAATAGAAACTCATTTTCTTGACCAGTATTGGCTATATTTCATTTTTTATATAATTATTAATACTTTTTTTTATAAATGTCTAGCTCTTTATACATATAACACTGCGCGATATTAAATTTTAAACACAAATATTAATATATTCGCGAAACCATTGGCCAAATATAGTAAAATTGCGTTTTTAGTTTTTCACTCTGACGTCAGTGATTCAAAAATGATTTAAAAAATTCAGTGAAATGTGCTAAGAGAAAAAGTATGGGTATCAAATTAAAGAGGAAATGCTGTAGAATTTAAACAGATTCAAGTTTTTGTCGCAGACTGGTAAATATTGAAAATGTCCTTTTGAAATTTTATCCTTGAAATTTCGCAATATTTGTTTTTGAAAAAATTATTTGTTAAGGACTTATGTAAACTTGATAACATCCTCGAATTTCGTCCTTATAACGTAATCAGCTTAAAAAATTACCGATTCGTCCTTGTGAATCCAAAAAATTTTAATTTTTTTAAATTCTAAATAAATTTTCTCTTGGATTTGGTTACGATGTTTTTATTCTACATTGCATTGAATTTCTTAAACATTTTTTGGAATTAATTATATCTTTGAAATTGCAAAGTCCTTTAAAATAAATCCTCACGCCACACAGTGTATTATTTCCATATTCTGGAAAATATTAATTACACTATTTTATGTCGCCAAATTTCAAAACAACGTCAAAAATATTTTTAGAAATGCCTGATAAAGACGAAACAATAACAACTAAAAAATTTAAATCAAAGTGTAGGGCGGTACGGGGTTTGATTTGGAAATTTACCAAGCGCAATAATATTTAGACTTGTATATTTGAAACTGAATCTCAATGTTTAATTTGTCGCTGTTATGTGATTTATGCAACAATTGCTAAAATACCATTTCGGTCTTATTTTCTTAAGTATGTTCTTTTTAATGAATATACATTTTTGGGATTTTAGTAAACTAGGACTGAGCAATTTATTAATTTAAATAGACCCGCAAACTCGTTATCCGCCACTATTCGATAAAGTTTGTATCTCAGTTTATTTGCCACTCCTCTTGACTTTAAACAACACAATTTTAGCTGCTGGAAAGTGCAGGTTTTGATGAAATTTTCTTTTTTCAGGCCTACTAGGAAATTTATTTTCTTCGAATAATTCATTTGCATTTTATCTCGACCGAAACAAATTCTTGTATTTTGGCTTTGAGTAGAGAAAGCCTGATTTATTACCTTTCCAGTGGTATCCTATTTTTGTAAATATAGCAATAAATATTGAACTTGTAACGGAGTTTTTTTTGACCCAACTTGACTTTTTTATCCGTATTTTCCACGCCCATAATTAAAAAAAAAATTATATTTGTTTTTAAGTCCATTTCTGTCAGTTTACAATTCCTTGTTATAGGGAAATTCTAAATATCAATTTTGGACATTTTAGCCTTTGTAGTTAGTTAAATATTTCAGTTTTTGCCTTTTTTAAAATTTCAGTTATATAAATAGGGTGGCTTGACAGTAACTCTAAATGCCCAACTTTTTGTAAAAAGCTTCGCCTATCTTATAACGTACCTTGTGAAAAATTTCATTCATCTAGCTTCAATAGTTTTCGAATTACAGAATTAAAAGCAGCTAGATGGGTCAAATCTTACACTGTGCGCCAGCGAGAAAAAAATAAAAACGCCACTTTAAATAACAAAGTAGGTTCAAACCCGTTCATTTATTATTTATTTTTCGATTTAAGTTGGTGAAAAGTAATGAATATCTAAATCCCGTGACTAATCCCGGAATCCCGGGATTGTGATAACGACATCCCGAAAATTCCGGGATCGGAAAAAGCTGAAAAATTAACATCCCTAGTGAGTACCTACCGCCTGCCTGTGGGCTTAGCTTAGCGCTTGGCGATGTTGTTGCTAGTTTGCGGGCTGTCTACGTATGTATGTAGCCGGCTGGCATACTGCTGCTTGGGTTGCCTTTGCGCTCGAGCGCTTACTTGTCGAAGAGCTTTCGTGCTGAGCGGTTGGTGCGGCATACATCGATTTGCCTTTGGTTTACTTTGCTTTGCGATTCGATCGTTCCGATTATATTGTGTGTGGTGTGCGACGATCCAGTGAGTTTGCTATAGTATCGCACTGTTCGTTGTTGTCGGTCGCCGTTGTTGGTAGAGTCACGCGTTTTTTTTTAGCGTTACGTTAATTTAAATAGAACAGAACAAGTTACAAAAATTTGCAAACCCATTTGCATAATTTATTGCCGGAAAAAAACCACTGAGTGAAAAAATAAACTGTGTGTGTGCTAACTAACGGTACGTGAAGGGATTAGAATTAAAATAAAAAAAAAAATAGTTTTAAAAATTATTTCGAAATTATTGGCGTACTTTGACCCACTGTGCCGCGATACTTACCTGTTGCGCTTCATACGTGGTTTTGAAATTGAATTTTTTTGTTGCAAATTTCGCCTTTAACTTTGTTCTACAAACAACTACAACCATAGCGAGCTGAGACAAAAACAAAAACAGAAAAATCAGCAGCAGCTCACAGCGCAACCGCAATTATTTAAGTGAAAACTGAGCGAAAATAAAATTTGTATGCTTTGTAAAAAATTTTAGTTTGTCGCCTGATTTTTCCACAAATATGCGATAATTTAATTTTATTTCATTTGCGGTTATTTAAGTTGCTGCTGATCGTTCTTTCTTGCGATCGCCTTTAGTTGGTGTGTTTTTCGGGTGTTTTTTTTTGCCTGTGCCTGTGACTTTTGCTTTGACAGTCGCAAACATTTTGTCATTCGCCGTGGTGCTGCCTGTTTTTGAACTAAAAAACAAACACAAAAAACAATAAGATCTCCGTCTGTCCTTACATTTGTGGGTTTTATTGTTTTGCGCTCATTTTCTGTATGTCGTTGGTATGTAAGTGTTGTTGTTGTTGTTGTTGTCACAACACGGCAACCGCAACAACATCAAAAAGCTCCTCCTTCCCCACCGCCGCTGCTGATACTGTTGCTGCCATGTGCGGTGGCACCAAGTGGCAGCAACACCCATTGATAGCGGCGACATATGGTTGGCGCAGTCAGTCGATTGCCGCTTTTGAAACGCGCCGCTTCGCCATTGTGAAGTGCTTGAAAAATTAAAAAAAAAAATAAGCCGCGGAATAGCCACATTAAATCGCCAGACATAAAATACCTACATATCTACATACAATACAAATTTGTGAAGAATCTGTTGTGCCGTACTTGAGACAAAAAAAAAAACAACAGCAAAATCTCAGCCATAAACTTTGTTGCGCCCAATTTTTGTACGTGTTGAAGGACTTTCGTTGACATTTGCGTTTTGGCTGCAGTCGCCAAAACTTTCACAAGAATTTCGTGTGCTTTTTGATTATTTTTTTCAATCTTAGATTTTTTTAAATTTTAATAGCCTATTTTTGATGTTCGTGCGCTATTGTGGGCGTGGTTGTTCATTTGTGTGCGCGCGTATGTGCCTGTGGCGGTGCACAAATTTTAGCGCGTTTGACATTGAAAATGTGCAAAAATATGAATTTTGAATTTTTTTAATGCCTTCTCTTAATTGTCATGCAAATAAATACTGTGCCAAAAAGTGAAAGGAAAAGTATAAACAGTTAATGCAAATGAAGCTGAAGCTATAAAATTGAGTTATAAATAATAAGCTTTTAGAAAAACACAAAAAAACAAAAGCAAATTTTAAATGCAAACACCAAAAGAAAAAAACAGTGTAAATAAATAAAGAATTAATTTGTTCGTATAAAGACGAGAATAACGTAATCGGAAAGGGAAACAATTTTTCGATTAAATAATAATAAATCATTTTGAATAAAAAAAACATAGTAAATTTGTTCGAAGAAAATATAAAATACAACTCTAAATAAAGAAGGCTTCTCGCACTCGACTTACCTGTTTTACATATAAATTGCTTTAATCTTGTATTTTGGTTTGAAAATATGTATGTACATACGGAGAATTTATAACAATTAAAAAAAAATATATATATTAAAATTTCTAAAACTGTATAATAAATTTTTGAAGTTTCTTATAAGATCTAGTTCTTCTTCTAGTGTAATAAAAAGCAAGTGTGAAGTTGCTAGAAATTGCGTTGATTTTTGATATTTGTTTTTCTGACTGTATTACGCACTTTTTTCTATACTGTCGGATATATGTACATACTTTATATGAAAGAAAATCGTTAATGCGATTTTTTAGCAACTTCCATTAAATAGTAGGTTTCCAATATCATTGAGAAAATGTAGGCTTAGAATAAGAATCCAATTTTTTCTTCGCTCTTCCGAATAATTGTAGGGTGTGATGTATGTATTTTTTAAGAACGAAAAATTGCACTTATGATGGCGAAAACCGATTTTTATCTACATACGTAAATAAATTTTGGCAATGGAAAATGCGAATTCGTTTCAAAATACATATTGCACACCTACATACATAGATCTAAAGTGAGCTAATTGAAAAATCAGATCCCGAAATACAGTGACTAAAACAAATTACTCAAGCATATTCGTCGTAACTATTTTTTTTTGTTATTTTTCTATGAAAATATTGTCCAAGCTTTAACCAAAACCATATAAATCACAGTTTCAAACTTTATACAAAATTTTGGAAAATTCAAAAAATATTCATCAAAATTTCAACATTTTAATCGGAATCTTTAGACCATTTTTTGTTATGCAGTGCAAGTTTCAAGCGGCTATAAAATCCCGTGGTTTTTGAGAATGATTCTTTTATGAAATAATATGCGAGAGACCGTTAGCAACAAAATTTCAAAAAGTTAACGCCACTTTTTGTTAATTTCACTTGTCATATAAAAAACCGCAAAAGCAGTCTCCAAAAACAAATTCTTAAAAGTCAAGACGATTTTTCAACCGGTTGAAACTTGCACGCCATTAGACTAAAATTGTAAGGGCTATAAAACTGCATACCCAACAATGTTCTAAAGATTCAGATTAAAAAGTTGAAATTTTGATGACAATTTTTTGAATTTTTTTAAATTTTGTATAAAGTTTGAAACTACTTTTGGTTAAACCTTGGTCGATATTTTTAAACATTACGAATATTTACAAAAAATCAACATGGTCATTTGTTTGATTCACTGTTTTTTAGTAAGTGTATATAATCATAAAGAAAAAATATTTGCATTATTGGAGGTAGATAAGCCCTATAAATTGATTTATTTTAAGTTGGTCACTGTTTAGATTTGTGTGTACGATATGTATGTACATACATTAGAGTGGTCCTATTTTTGTATGGAGAAAGAAATTTTATTTATCAAGTTTCTTCCAATGTGAAACAAGTAAACATTTCCATTGAGAGTTTATTTAAAATTTTATTCCGAAAAAGTCGCATTTCTTGTGGATTTAATGCTGCCATAGTGCGATTTTCTACGCTCCTCTTGACATTACTAATTCGCCATTTTTTGCGTTTTACTGACTTAAAAAACGAAAGAGCATGGTTATCTATTTGTCGTGTACATTGTTTCATTTACTCTAGTAATGGCATGGCCACACAAATGAGTTCTTCAATCATTCAATTTATATGTCCATATTTAAAATTATTTTCTACTTTATTAAGGGCTACAAGAATTTCTGGGATAAAGTGACGAAATCTTTTAGTTTAGTTGTAAATTGAAAGTTATAGTATTCACAGCTCCCTGTTATCACCTGTGTTAATTTTACCGCATTGTAACTTTAAAACATTAAAAGTATAGTTCACTAGGGATCGGGGGAATTATTTATAAACAAATGTTTTCAAGAGAGTCTTAAAAACACGATGCTGCCTATTTTAAAACATTAATATAGGTAAGGATTTTAACTTTAGTAGTAGTAGTATCTTCGAAAATTTGCCACGCACTAACTTCATCAAGCAACTTAAGTAAATGCAAAACCTTTAAGCTAAAGATTTAGTGATAGCGAAAAAACTTCCATTCCTCGAACAAATTTACAAAATACAATAAAATTATACGCTTTGAACAAACACTCGCAAAAAACAGAACTCAACGACCTAAATTAACAAAACGCAACCCTGACACGTGTGACCTTTTCTATATATTCATGCTATGTATGTTCAATACAAATGTATGTTCATTCTTAATTATTCTAATTAAATTTTGCATACATCACCTTAACTTACAGTATACTACATGCTTACATACTAACATACATACATACGTATATTAATGTGAACATACTGTGTGGATTAATAAAAGCTCAATTAAGGCAATAAAACTCGCTCAAAAAAAAAGAAATAAATATAACTAAATTGAGTGAGGCAATGAAAAGCGTTTAAAAATTAATAATAATAATATTTTCCTATTTAATAAGTAATTAAAGTAAAAAAGACTAGAAAACTAACCATTGTGACACACAGCAAAAACAACAAAAATTGTGCTTAAGCAGTTTTAGCTGAGGGAAAACAGCAAATATTCGTGTTTAACAACATCGTACATACATACATACTACCGTGAGAAGGGTAAGTTGTGTATATATATAATTATCACTTAAAGTTAGTATTGAATGAAATGCACAAGTAAATACATATGTATGTCTGTCTAAAGCAGCGTCAAGCAAAAGGCAATTTCATGATTGTGACAATGAGAAACATGTAAAGTTGTGTGCTGTAATAGTTGGACTTTAGTTTTGTGAGAAATAAACGTACATATGGCATATTTATAATTGTAATACATATGTACATGTATACACCCTTATCATAATATGTAGTACACGAGTGTATTGGCAAGGAAAAAATGATAAACATTTAATTTTGAAAGAAATGTACTATTTCTTTGTTGTTCAGCTCTTAATTTGACTTTGACCTTTGCGCATGTTTTCACAGCTGTTGTTGTAATTATTATTTCTCTCTGACGGCAGTATGTCATTTACCCGTCAAAAAATAAAAAATAAAAATACTTTGCCAACTTACAACTGCATTTACTATGACAATAATTATGTATGTAACGGGTGATTTTTTAAGAGCTTGATACCTTTTTTTTTAAAAAAAACGCATAAAATTTGCAAAATCTCATCGGTTCTTTATTTGAAACGTTAGATTGGTCCATGACATTTACTTTTTGAAGATAATTTCATTTAAATGTTGACCGCGGCTGCGTCTTAGGTGGTCCATTCGGAAAGTCCAATTTTGGGCAACTTTTTCGAGCATTTCGGCCGGAATAGCCCGAATTTCTTCGGAAATGTTGTCTTCCAAAGCTGGAATAGTTGCTGGCTTATTTCTGTAGACTTTAGACTTGACGTAGCCCCACAAAAAATAGTCTAAAGGCGTCAAATCGCATGATCTTGGTGGCCAACTTACCGGTCCATTTCTTGAGATGAATTGTTCTCCGAAGTTTTCCCTCAAAATGGCCATAGAATCGCGAGCTGTGTGGCATGTAGCGCCATCTTGTTGAAACCACATGTCAACCAAGTTCAGTTCTTCCATTTTTGGCAACAAAAAGTTTGTTAGCATCGAACGATAGCGATCGCCATTCACCGTAACGTTGCGTCCAACAGCATCTTTGAAAAAATACGGTCCAATGATTCCACCAGCGTACAAACCACACCAAACAGTGCATTTTTCGGGATGCATGGGCAGTTCTTGAACGGCTTCTGGTTGCTCTTCACTCCAAATGCGGCAATTTTGCTTATTTACGAAGCCATTCAACCAGAAATGAGCCTCATCGCTGAACAAAATTTGTCGAT